AATTATTATACATTATTATATGTATATAGATTATTACTATTTACAAATAAGTTCTTAAACATATTTTTCTTAAAACATAGAACAGTAAATAAGAAGTAAAGCAAACAATTATCTCTTCTCATTACAACTTTTGTACTCAGTTGCTGTTTGACATAGGTTGCTAAGCCTTTTAAAATTTCGCACGTGGAGGATATGAAGTGAAATAATTTTTTTAGGTTTAATATACACAGTTAGATATCCAAAGAAATCATAAATTACTATATCAATACCATAGAATTCCACTATAATTTATCAAGCATAGTAACTAAGCTGTATTTCAGTCTAAAAAAACATGAAATTTTGAGCAGACTAAAGACACAACCTTCCTCCTTGAAATATTATTTTGAAAGAATGAGATGGCATCCTAACACTTTAAAATGGCTGAGAAAGCCACTAGGGAAACCTTCTGACCTTTTATTCACATGTCATATATTGATGTAAGTGTATATAAGGGACCATTTCCAAAAGTTGAAAGAGGTGAGCAGGGCCTCTGTTTTTGATTCAGTACATGAGCGATATCTCAGCAAATAGAAAAGATATGAGGTTTTTATTTATATTTTAGCTTGTCACTATCGGTAATTTGAGTTCTAATTTGAACCAGTGCTGCATTCAACATATCACGTAACCCACAACAATTGATGTTTAACTTTTTTTTTATATTTACTTTTAAATTAAGAAATTGAATAATGTATAATACTAAAATGTGAATTATAATCTACAGTTTGATGCCAAACTTATTGACACAAATTCATGAAATAGTAGTTCAATAAAATTTTAAATGCGATTCAACCCATGACTCATTTGGTAAGGGTTAAAGTGAATTGGTAATTACATAATTATTTATAAAAATAAAGATGCTTGTACTAAATTATTATAAGATTATAAATTACACTCTTTACTAATATATTTGATTTAGGCAGACAGACACATCTGTGTGCGTATGCATGTCTATGTAGGTGTGACTGCCATAGCTCCAAGAGGAAAGAGCTTAGAAATCTGAAATTTTGCACCCATACTAAGTGGACCCTGAAGGTGTGCACCTGGGTATTATTTCTTATCCACGTGAGTGTATGCATGCATGTGCAAATCTTTCTAGTGAGGCAAACTAGCAAAAAAAACCCATAGAAAAGAATTGATTTCTTATATTACGAATATAAATCACAGACAGACATGCATGTGCATATCTGTGTGAGTGCCATAGCTTCATGAGGAAAGAACCCAGAAATCTGAAATTTTGCACCCATACTAAGTGGACCTTGAGGGTGTGCACCTGGGTATTACTTATCCAAGTGCATGCATGCATGCACATCTTTTAAAATGGATTACAAATACACACACTATCAACCTAATAATCCAAGCAAAGCAGGGTACTTTTGCTAATATAAAATAAAATTTCATAAACAGTTTAACTTTCATTTATTATACACACACACACACACACTTATGTAAGGATTAAAAAGTTTTTTCTTTGATCATGTTTGATACTTTATTTTTTACAATTTTTGAAGTAAAATATTATATGCTTATCTATAAAATAATTCTAAATTTTATTTTTAATTTATGTAGCTGGTCTTTCTTTTAATGAGGCCAAAATGTGAACTCCCTTTATGTCTATATATAAATCATAGCACTAGTTTTTTATTTACATGAAGAAACAAAATTACACAAGTTTTATTGTACATGTTCTTTAAGGACTTTTTTTTTTCTTCTGAATAGGAAATGATGCGAATGATGGGACTAAATGACTGGTGTTATTGGAGTGCTACATTCTTCAACAACTTTCTTGTTATGCTGTTCATTTCAGCATTCATCACAATTTTATTTAAGATCAACTTTATAAAAGACATTGCTGTACTTTCCCACACTGATGGATTTTTGTTATTTATAATTCTACTTTTGTACAGTGCAGCAACAGTACTATTTTGTATCACTATCAGCACATTTTTCAATAAACGTAAGGAATATTCAGTCATTTTTCAAATTAAATCTTACTGGCATTTCAGTTGAAGTAAATATTAGTAATGTAATAAACTCATAATCACTTTTGTGAAGAAATGTGTCCAGAATATTTCATACTAACAAATGTGTTACAGTTTCTGACAAAGAAGTTTGATAGAAATATATATGTATAAGACAGAGAAAACAAAAAAATCGTGATTGATAACATTGGTTTTTTGAATTGCAATTGATTGTGTCAGAAGATGTTCATTATGAGAAATAATTACTTTGAATCTTTTTATTTCTTAGTAATATTTTTTAAAAGATCTTAATTTAACTTTGTATTTGCATTGTATTTTTGTCAGTTTTATATTGGATTTAATATTTTGTTTTTAAAACAACATTTAAAAACTGCTAAATGAAAATGTTGGAGAGCTGATTATTGATCTTTCTTAACTGTATTATATTATCAAAACCAGCAAGTGTGATAAGGATTTATAAACTACCAAAGTGAAAGCATATATATATTTAAACTTGCATAGGATATTCAGGGTATATATATTTTTTGACAAAAAAAAAGTGTTTTACGTGATGGATTGTTTAATTTTTGTCTTTTTTTCTTCTCTCTCTTTCTTTTTCAGCTGTGGTTTCAGTGATCGTTACAATTATTCTGTGGCAATGCACTTATTCTGTTCCCCAGAATTTAATGGATCCATATGGTGGCAGCAAGTATAGTGACATATCTCTAAGTCAAAAACTTGCCTCGTGTTTATTACCTAACATGGCACTTCATTGGGCAGTACGAGTAATGTCTACTCTTGAATCATTCAGTTAGTTTCTTTTTTTTTAACAAATGATCTCTGACATAACCAGAGCACATTTACTAAACTGTTCTTAGCCAGGTAATTATGCAACTTAATCAGAATACAGCTTATTTTATGACAAGTTGAGAGTGTAGAGAAATTTTGAAAGATAGAAGTACTTATGAAGATAGAGTGATTTTTGTAACTTTAGTGTTTATGAAAATTGGCTTCTGGCCACCAGCTGTTCTAATGAAATTTCACTGAGAACGCATTGCTTTTCTTCAAAACAATTATTGTACCTGCCATTCCAAACTTCTTAATAATGTAAAAGGCATTAGGTTTGAGGTTGATCTACAAGTTGAAGGTTGCAAAATGCTTGGAATTTTACCAGTGCAGCAGGATTAGATGTGATCATGTTGGGATATCTGTGTCCACAACAACAAGGACAAGGTTTGCTCATTTTTTAGCAGATTTTTTGGCACAGTAGCTGTACATCAAGCTCAAAGAAGGTGTCATGTGTTTAAAACGGTTTTCACAAACAACAATAATGAAGGATTACCATGTAATAATAAATCAAAAACAGAGTAAACAACCTTGAACAAGTGAGGAAAAAAGCAATAAAAGCAAAATACTTCCTCTAGCTTTCCAGTGTGGTCAAAATAATAAGACTTGTGATACCAACAGCAGGACTACCTACTAGAAAACACAAATAAAAAATGAAATAGTATAAAGAAAACAGACACTGTTTGCATATTCCAGGGATTTTGAAGATGGCAAAATAACTACAAATAGTGGCTTATCTTGGGAATAATTGATGGTTGAAGAGCATAGTTATTGCTGATTAGAATATCTTAGCAAAAGACGATGGAATAAACTAAATAGCAAAGCGGAGTCATCAACAGAAGATAGAGATTATAATTAAAAGGAATAAAAGCAGTACATAAATGATTCATATGAAAAATCAAAGTGACAGGAAAAGAAAACGCAGAGCTAACAAACGAAGAAAAAAGCAAGAAAATTATTGTTATTTGTTACTAATGTAATCATTGTATGTCATGACTGAAGACCATCACACAAAATTGCCAAACTTCGGCTCTTTGTAACTCTTTACTTGTACAACCTTCAATTTTTCCAACTACAGCAAAATGTTTGGCAGATCATGCTGTACCCATTCCCTGTAGTTTATGCTTTTCCAAATTTGGTGGGAACCCTACCAACTTAGTAAACTACTGTAATTTACTCTAGTTATGTCAGAGATTGCTTATTAAATAGAAATATTATAACTAGGTGATATGAAATATTTTGTCTAGAGGAAAAAATATCTATATATATTTAATGCCACTCTTATGAAGTACTTAATAATTTGCAGTTTAATTGGTTAACAGGTCATCAGGAACTCACTGACAGATACCTTATTAAACTACAAAGGATTGGAGGAGAGCCAGCAGTGTTTCACAAAAAAATAATACCTTAACATTCCTAACTGGATATTATTGTTTCCAAGATTTGAGAAAGTTTCTTCACGTAATTTTTCACTGCGATTTCATGAACTGTCCTTAAAGCTATGTGTTTTAATATGAGGAAGCCAGTTTGTATAAAGGATTTTGATATTTTTCAGTAATGTTTCAACAAACTTGAAAGAAGTCTTATAATAATTACAAATAAGCCACTCCTTTACCTCATATGATATTGTTTTTAAATAGTTAATTTGAGGACACTAAATTTTCAATATAAGATACTTGTTAATAATACAATCTAGAAGATGTATGTTTTTGCAATTCGTTGTACTTGTATTAGGCCCGGCATGGCCAGGTGGCTAGGGTGCTTGACTCGCAATCTGAGGATCGTGGGTTCGAATCGTTTTCCCACCAAACATGCTCGCCCTTTCAGCAGTGGGAACATTATAATGTTACAGTCAATCCACTATTCATTGGTAAAAGAGTAGCTTAAGAGTTTGCGGTGGGTGATGATAACTAGTTGCCTTCCCTCTAGTCTTACACTGCTAAATTAGGAATGGCTAGTGCAGATAGCCCTCGTGTAGCTTTGTGGGAAATTCAAAACAAACAAACTTACTTGTATCATATTTGGTTTTGACTATATTTTTTTTTCACTAGATTGGGTTGTGTGAGAGGCCTGGTTATTAGCTTTGTAGGCTGCAAACAAATGGGTCTGGGTTCAAGACGATGCCACTGAACATATTGTCCACACTTTCATTTTTGGTCAGATTATAAAAGTTACATTCAGTATTATTATTCAGTTCAATGATCTGAACAATGTTTTTGTGGTAGCTGGTGCTGCTAGCTGGCTGTCTTCCCAATGTTCAGTAGTTTAAAATTAGGGACATTTGTAACTGAATTCTAGGTGGTTTCTGGCCTAGTCATTTAGCCCATATGCTTAAAAGGTACTGCTAAAATAAAGAAATTCTATTTCTACTTGTTGAAAATAAATTTCAAAATTCATTTATACAAAACCCAAGAATGCAAGAACTGCTAAATGTATTATGGAAACTCTGGGCATTGGTCATATATTGGTTTAATTGTAATTCAAAACGACATACGTACTTTTATTATGATATTTGAAAAAATCTTAGTAGACAGAGATCCTATTTTAATTATTCCAGTTAATTAGATTTTTTGACCTTATCATCATATTACACAAGAGTTCACTAATTTTCAAGGAGACTTGTTCACAGACCACTTGAAGTAAGGTTAATGACTGTAGTATCATATGGTTTATACCACAACTATTTGAAGATAGTATTTTAAAGATCTCGTCAGTCCGGTTGTTTTAGGTTAATAGCAGAGAAAGCTATCAAGCAATGCTAAGTGTTTTCAGATGGAATTTTACTAGTTGTTATTTACTCTTTCTTCATACAGCTTTTAACTGAAATAACAAAAGGAGCACTTTATTGTTATAGTATTCGCTGTTATCAAAATAATAATGTATTATTTCATTCATCATCATTTCTAGTCTGTGAAGAGGTTTTCTAGAAGTGCATGGATGTGTTATTTAAATATAAACATATCTGTATATCTTATAAAAAAATAAACCATATGAAGTTAATTTTAAATATATAATTCATATTGAATACTACTGTGGATCAGAAATGTAAATTTTTAACAGAGGGGACATATTTGAGACTAATAGACTGTATAGGTACACAAATGTGTTATGTGTAATTATTAAATGTGTTCAATTCACAGAAGAAGGAGCAACGTGGGCTAACCTAGGGAAGGCTGCTTTGCCAGAAGATAATTTAACTCTTGGTGCCATCATGGGAATGATGGTAGCATCATTGGTTGTTTATGGTGTGATAACCTGGTATGTTGATGCAGTCTGGCCTTGGCAGTTTGGAATACCGAAACCTGTTTATTTTCCTTTTATGGTAAAAACCTTTTTCAACTTATTTATGATTTGGATATATAAAACAAAAGTATTATGTACTGAATAAATTGCCCCTTAAACACAATTCATAAACTGGTATGTTTCAATCATAAATTAATACTATTGTGTTACTTATTGCATTTTCAACATCAAAAAATATTTGGCACACCAGCGTTATCATTATATAGGTTTAAATTGTAAAGTTGTTAACACTTCATTTATGATAAACTCCTAATGAGTTGTGAACTCAAAGTAGCAGTTTATAACATCAGTATAATGTTAAATAATCTTGAAAATAGATATTATGTTAGCTTGAGTTGTTAAAAAGTGCCTTATTAGCAAGAGCAAGTTATGTGTTTAGTTTAATTGGTAGATGATTTATTTGGTGTGTGTGAGATGTTTTGAGCTTGAATCTGAGCTGAGGAAATAAAAAAAAAAGAAAGATTATTACCACAATATTATATAGTCTTGTAATTCTTATACTTGTTTGTATTCATATAAATAACACCATAAAATTGTATCTGAATGACCAGTAAGGTAGACTATCAAAAACATTTCGGAGCTCAAACTTACTAAAATTAAAATCAGTGTTTAACCCTCAAATTACTAAGTTCTTTATATATACATATATATATTGTTTATTAATGATGGAATCCATATACTACATCATATTGAGTAATTTTATGTTTTTTTTTTCCATTACAACACTCAATGTAAAGATCTGGCAAATTGTGTCTTAACTAATTACAGTCCTTAGGTTCTGCTATTAACTTGATTCATTATATTTAGCTATCCTACTGGGGCTTCAGAAAACCAAATTTTAAGTACCATGAAATAGAACTTGAAGATACTAGCAAAACCACATATTTTGAGGAAAACCCCGTGGAACAAAATCCTGGTATAACAATATCTCACCTTTCTAAGGTAAGTGTTACTGTTGGTCTGACTCACATTTCTAACAATTTTATACCTTTAGAATCCCTAGATGTTTTATTATGTTGTTATATGAGAGAATAAAAAAACTGTTAAGAGAGTGTCAACTCATCAGTTCAGAAAAAAAAAGTCTCTACCTCATACAGAAAGAATACTGAGCACACCCAGTACAGCCCATTGTTATACCAGTATGAAAGTATTAGGCAAGCTATAGATTGCCTAATGAAGAAATGAGAAATGGCTCTGCATAGACTAGAATTGTGGGGTGACAGTATATAACATTTGCCTCACCTTTCAAAAAGGCCACCAGCCATCACTGTTTTGAAGTCTTTAAATGTTATTTTTAGATTTAACTTATATAAAACATTTATATCTTTTCTTACTGTAAAAAGTTAACAACAATTTTTGGAGTTAAATATTTCCTTTTCATGCATAATGTAATCACAAATAGTTTTTGTGAAGATTTAATATTTTATTCATAAATCACTCCTGTTCAATTTGTATTAAGAAGATAAAGGAATAATTTTATATAAATAACCAAAATCCTTTTTTTTTTCTCTCTTCACCTATGGAACATAAAATACACAATGAAACTTTGTTTGATTAAAATCTGCTACAGATTTAGTGACTAAATTTTCTTCATTTTAGGTTCATGTTTCATGCATTTTCTGTGAGAAGACACCATGAATTTGAACATGATGTTTTAAAGTATAATGAATAATAAAACTTTCTTTTTAAGTCTGTAGAATTGAAACTGTAAACCCTCAGATTTCATATCTTGTATTCTTTAGAAAATGTTTAAATCATAATTCAAAAAATATCTTATTATATAAACCTTTAAAGGCATATTACCTGTTTGTGTTTTTTTATTCTGTATGGCTGCTAACTTAAATCTGAAACCCCCTTCCTTTTTTATAAATTTTATTTGCAATGGAAAAATCATTTTAATTATTTTACAATATATGTGTGACACAAGTAAGATAGTGTAAGTTAAGGTAAATACTGTATAACACACTTAAACAAATTAACTAGTAATTTATACTAATAATTTATTTCATGTTTTATTTTTGTACTGTTTTGTCTGCAGCTAAGTGTAAGGACTTAAACCTTAAATCTTGTTTAATTCCCAGATTGGTTACTGTTTGTATACTAAGTGTCTTATCTTGTGTGTAGGTATTTGGGTGGGGTAGTAGACGTAAAAACGCTGTGAACAATGTTTCTCTCAACATTTATAAAGGACAGATAACAGCTTTGCTTGGACACAATGGTGCAGGAAAAACAACAACAATGAACATGCTAACTGGTAGGAGTTTATGAAAGTATATTGAATCATAAAGTTTAAGTTTTAAATAATAAATTACAACCTATGTCTATACCTTTCAGTTTATTTACAATATGCATGTTTTTGTTTCTCGTACATCCCGTGCTGGGCTCAGTATTGAAATTTAAACATTGCATCTACCAGCAGAAATGTGGCCTAAGTGCAGCTATTTGTGCTAGTAATTACTAATCATAGTATTTATACTTCATTGAGAAAAATTTAGAAAAAGTGAACATTTTCCAAAAAAAAAAAATTTTTTTTTGCTAGAAATTACTGCATGGGAAAAGTGTTCAAATTGTGCTCTTTAGTCATACACAAATCATTGCATCATAATGATTCAATCTACAGAGCCAAAAATGTTCATAAATTATACTGATATAAACTGTAGTGTTTTTATATATTAAAAGTGCTACCATTTATTGAAAAAATAATAGTTTTTCAGATCTCCAGTTTCTCAGTACTACATTTAAAAATTACATCAATAAAGATATAATCAAACCCTCATTCACAGTCTTACTTAAAGTTGTATTCTTATTGTGAGGAGAATGCTTTTATTTAAAATTGTGTTCTGTTATAAAGAAATGGTGGTTGCACTTACCACAGTTATTTTTTCTAATTGCCTGAATCATATGAATCTGTGGGCTCAACTTTTAAGCTTCTGTCAACCATTTTCTTTTTCCATTTTAGAGAATGCATTCTAAAACTAAACTGGTTTCCCGGTTGGGTTTTATCTGATTAGTGTAGCTTTTGATTTTAGTAACTTTTAATTGTTTTGTTTTTTAAGTAAATTAAATAATAATGTTGTTTGTATTTTTCTGTTCCATACTATAATTCCACATCAAAAAAAAAAGCAGTGCTAAAATTAAAGAGAAAACCTGCTTAACTTCTGCTGCAAATTATTAAAGAAACATCAAATATAGTGAATGTGTTTAATGATAACAGAATATTTTAAAATCAGATGTTTAATTTATGTCCAGTTTTTAATTTTTTTATTGAAATGTAACCATTATAAAATTTGTTATTTAAAAGCATTGTTTTAAAATTGTGCTGTCTTTCATTAACAGTAGCAAATGAAAGGTATTTATGTGTGTTAATAAAATAAAGGTGTAAGTGTGTGTGTATTAACAATCCACAACAAAAGACAAATCACAAGAAAATTATTCAAGGCACTGTAGTTTTCTGATATTCATAAAATGTAGAATTCAACAGTTTAGCATATGATCTGCTAGCTAAGAAAACTACCTGCATCTACGTATGAGTTAGTGACTAGTACTTTTGAATTATAGAAACATATGTATTTTGAAAAATCATCTTTGTGCATATCACTTTATACTATGTCTACTGTTATTGTAGAATAACATTAAATGTATCATACTGGACTTTATATGTTTATTAATTTTTTCAATCGATTACCTGTTACACAGGTTATAATTATTTTACAGTAAAAAGTTAAACTTAAATATTTTAGTTTTTAGTACTTTCAAACTTTACAATCTGAGATAAATCTGTATTATTTGTGCCTGCATGAAAATTACTGTTTTTGCTTGTTTTGAATGGGAAATATTACTAGGTCAATGTAGGGAGCTATATAGTCATATAAACATTCAAGATGAATGACACTATATGTATTTTATATTATTTTTGTGATAAAGTTTCTAGAGAATAAAATAAAATATGAACAAATGTTGAATTTAAGGTTTAGAGTTTATCAGACATCATTTACATAAATTTTACTTGAAACCAAAATCAAGGCTTTTTTGTTTACAATAATATAAACATTTTCATAACTGCTTAAACCAGTCTTCTTTTAGGGATGTTATTTTATTTTTGCTCTTATGAACATAAAACATGACTAGCATATGTTAAGAAGAGTTCATTACAATGAGAATGCTTAATTGATGAAAATTAGATATAATACACAATTTGATAAATTATGTAAAGTCCAATAACAAATCAAATTGAGTTTGCTTCAACATAAAGTAAAACAAAGCAATATCTGACTGCAATTTAATTTCAAGAAATCATTGCACAATTCTTTTTCCAAGATCTTAACTTGGCTTCAAAGTAAAAAAAGTTTTTCCTTAATCATTGTACACTTGCTTGATTTTTTTTTTTTCTTAAGGTCTCTACCCACCAACAGCAGGAACTGCTTCTATTAATGGTTATGACATTCTTACTGATACTAAAAGGGCACGACGGAGCTTGGGACTGTGTCCACAACATAATGTTCTTTATAATGATTTAACTGTTGAAGAACATCTGAAGCTGTTTGTAGGAGTAAGTCCAGTTTATTCAAAGAGAATGAGTTTGCTCATGGAAAGCAAATGATGCATATGTTGGTAAAATGTTTGAAAGGTATATTTCTGTATATTAACCAAACAAGGTTTCTCATGGATCAAAAATATTTTAGAGTAGAGTAAAAAGAAAATTCTTTGTCTTAAAAATACTCAAACATAGAATTTAATCACATTGTTTTCTAAAGCAGTGGGAATCTTCAAGAAAACTCATTTGTTATTTACATGGATTTTCATAATTATTATTATTTTTTGCAATTGAAAACATCTAAAATACATAGAGTTCTGTAAATTTACATTATATTTGTGTGTGTGTGTGTGTGTATATATATATATATATATATGTTTATAGTTAAAAGGATGCTCATGGAATGATATCCAAAAGGAGGTAGACAACATTCTTCACCTTCTGGATCTTCAGAATAAAAGGCATGATCTAGCTGAGAAGTTATCTGGTGGAATGAAAAGGAAATTGTCCTTGGGAATAGCAATGATCGGAAAATCAGAGGTAACTGACTGGTTATTCTTTCTTTAATATGCATAAAAATGTAAACTAAAAAAGAGAATACAAATTCACTGAAAACTTAACATTTGTTTTCCCAGTTCTTTCATAATTTGGATGTTAGTAACTTGGTTGTATTTTAGCTGAAAATTCAAGATGCACTGAATGGAATGAGATAGAAGAACAATGTAGAAAATATTTGAAAATATAATCTAAATGGACAATTCTCATTTTAAATAAGTTGAATAAGCTTGCAGTCTTGTTCCATAGAATTTTAAAACAATTCTCCATAGTATAAGGGCATTGCAGCAAATTTTTAGAACCAAGCTTTGACTGAAGTCTTTTCTAGTAAATTTAATTCCTTTTTCCATAAAGGTCTCTCAGTTATTTTTCTATTATGGCAATGTTTAGCTTATTTCATGGGCATGAATGGTATATCAAGTTAGAAGCATGAAGTAAAAACACTAAAAGTAGGAAAATGAACAGTTTTCATGCAAACACTGTATTTGTCATTAACATATTTTTTTGTCAAGTTTAACATTTTGTCGTCATGGTATCTATGTAACTGTTGTATTTTTCTGTAAGGTAATTATACTCCTCAGCAAATCGTACAGTCATCCTAATAAGATTTGGATAAGAAATTTCAATCTTTGATGTATAAATCTATAGTGGCAGTTTTTGCCAGAACAGAACCAGTAAAGAAACATCTCTTAAAAAACAAAATTTTTTGACTTAATTCTGGCACTTATTTCTTACTTGATTCATCTTGCTAATACACAATCACAGCCTTGAACAGTGATTTCTTCTGCAAGTCTACAACTGGTGATGATTGCACATATTTTGGCAAAGTCAGAAGGGAAGATTTGTATGTGAATGCTCTGAAATTTTTTGGGCAATCAGATTCTCCAAACATATGTCCCATATATATATATTAATCTAAAATGCATTTTTGTTTACCATTCATTAACTCTTTGTTTCTTTCAAGTTTTAAAAAAACTAGAGATGTGTGAAAGAGTATTTGACAGTATACATTTATAAACCAAACTACTGTTTCTTCTAAATGTTCTCACAAAATGCACAAGATCTGAAACTATATAAGATGATTATAATATGATGGCATTTGAATTTTTTTTCAATTTAAGTAAGGTCGACAGGATACTTATTATAGCTATAAAAATATGTAATTGCACTTCCCAGCTTAATTCTTTAAAAGTAGAGGTAGCCATTTGTGTAACAAAAAAATTAAAGTTTCACACAATTTAATGAAGGGCTGGCCATTAATATATATATACATGGTAAACATAACTTACAATCTAATATATATAAAAGCCAGTTGTCGTTTGATAATGCTCCATTCTTCCGTGTTTCTTAGCACTAAAACTATGACCTCATAGCAAAATCATTCAAAAGTTCATCAAAATTTATTTGTCTAAGTTTGTCACTTTCAATGCACAGACTGCTCAGTGCGGACAACCTCTCTTGAGACATTGTGGCCCTTAATTCATTTTTAATTCTTTTGAGTCTTGAAAAAGACCTCTCTCCCGAGCAGTTAGTGACCATTAAGCTAAGAAATAGCTGCATGATTGCTTCCACATTAGGGAAGGCCATCTTGATTTTTTTCCTTGTATATAAGTTGATAAAGGTCTATATGAGACAGAGAGTGCTCTTCTGTAGGCCTATGGCTCTGTCTCACGTACAAGTGAAAGTGCAAAAGTTCATCAGTAAGTTTCAGGTCAACATCTTCTGGGTATGCTTCCATCAACAGTTCAACACCTTGCTGAATTTCTTGCTTAGATGCTGTCAGATTAGCAAGAAAGGAAAACATTTGTGCAACATCACTATACACAGTAGCTCTTCTTAAATTGGCATCAAGTGCATCTGGTATAGGAATAAAGGATTTTATCCTAAACTTATCATTTGAAGAGAGTTCATCTAAAGCATCAGGACCAGGTGCATTTCCTTGCCGTTTCCTTACTCTTTGTCTCCTTATGACAGTTCTGTAGTTAACATTTGGCAAAGTGGCTTTTGCTTGTTGCTCAAGCTCATCAAAATCTTCTCTAATTTTGCTTAAAAAATCCTGAAGTGAACTGTACAAACATGCACAAGTACTCAATAACAGTTCTGATTTCTGAATGGCTTTGCTGACCTTGTGAAAATGACGTAGCACACGGGTCCAAAAATATAGCATAAACACAAATTCCAGTTCTTCCATTTTCTGCAAAAGATTGTTAGCTTGAAGCCTGGTATCACCCTTCTCATTAACATCAGAGTACAAGTGACTGATGGCATCAGTGATAGCTTTTTAACTTTTCAAAATAGCTTCTGTGGCTTTTGCATGTGCCTCCCACCTAGTGTCTGACAAATATTTAGGCACTTTTGATTGAAGATGCAAAAATGATTTTAGAACTGCCCATCTCTTTGTGGAGGATGAAAAGAAGATATAAATTTCATTGATAATGCCAAAAAAGGTCACTGCATCAAGGCAGCAATCAACAGCTGAACAGCCCACTAAATTTAAAGAGTGACCAGTGCATGGAATAAATCTTGCAATTTTTTTTTTCGAGTATTTTTTGCTGCATACCATTGTACCTACAAGCCATGTTGGCAGCATTGTCGTAAGACTGCCCTCGGCATTTTCTAAAGTCAATTTCAAGCTCAGTAGTCAGATAGTTAAACACTAAATCAGCCATGCTTTCTCCTGAGTGGTCTTTTAGCTCAAGGAAAGTTAAAAATCTCTCAGGTAAACCGTCTTCAGGCTATACATATCTGATAATTAAAGTCAACTTATCAGTTTGTGAAATGTCAGGAGTGGAATCTACTGAAAAGCTGAAATATCCAACCTTTTTTACATCACTCAGAATTGCATCCTTAACTTTTTTTGCAATGAGTTGAATCATTTCCTCTCATACAGTTTTTGACAAATAAGAGGGATTTCCTGATCTGGAATTTCCATACCGATTGATATGAGCGAGTAAAAATGGATCAAATTTTGCTACTAGTTCTAAAAAACCAAGATAATTGCCATTATCTGGAGATCCAAATTGTTCATTGTTTCCTCTGAATGGTAAGCCTTGTTCTGCAAGAGTGCATATTACAGCGATAATTCTCTCCATGACATGCCGTCAGTACTGTTGTTCCTCTAGCTTTGAAGTTAATGTTTGCCCTCGCTTCCTTGTTAGGTAGGTCAATATGGCATTCCTGTGCTTCTCTGAGTTATCATGAGTCTGGATAAGATAGGAGTTATGCCAATCATCAAACCCTTCAGAAGCTAAAGCTGTAGCAGAAGATGCAACGTTTGGAAATAGTTCACAAACAAAGCAATAAATCCAGCCTTTTGAGGGAGAATACAAAAGCCACTCTCGGCTATATGTTTCCCCATTGACTTTTGTTGAATAAAAAAGAGCTTTTGTGCACAACCTGGACTGCTTTTTTGTACACTCGCTTGAAAATGGTCCACAACAATGCTGAACTTGAGAGGGGCCCCTCTCTACCCAATAGGATATTTCCTCATGTGATAATTCTGTCCACAAACCAACGTCTGTTACAGTAGATCTATGTTTGGCATCATATATATCTGCATCTGGAATAGCTTGGATTTGGCCAACCTTACCAGGTGTGAGCTGAAAATTCTGAATATCCACATTATTTTCTTGTGGATCTTTAGCCTCTCCCTGTCTGGTAAGTAACTCTTGAATTAGTTCTATATTTTCATTTTGAGCCGGCATCATGTCTGCTTCCTCATAATCAGCTTGCTGTTCTGCATCCTGCTTCGCTGTTTCTTTTTCAGGGAGGTTTTCTTCCGGTTGAATGCTAGTAGTTGGCTGGATAGCTCCACCACACTGATTTCCTTGTATTAGTATCAATGTCTCTGCTTCACCGCTGGCACTTGTTGCTTCTGTCTGTGGCTGATGCAAGAAAGCAGTGATCATTCTTAACTTCTTTACCATATCATTTTCAAGTCTCTTTCTCTGGCGCTTGCTAGCACCACTTTCAAATCTTTTACTCATGCTCAGATTAGAATCTGAAAATAAAAAGTAAACTTAATCTTCAACAGTTATAAAAGAGACATAAAAATAGTCACCGACAACAAAAAGCCACCAGGCCCTATCTAGGTTGTCTGAATGCATATGAATTGAAATGAAAGAATACAAAAAATCAAGAAAATGAACAGTATTGAGGAAATAAAATAAAATAATAACTTAAAAAATTAACAAGTTTGAGAACAACCACACGCATACACCGTTTGGCATTGCGAGAAAAAAAGGATACACTCATATATTCACACTGAACAGGCCATCCATCTATGTACTCCCATCCCTTCACCAGGCAACTGCCAAGTCATTTCATGCAGAATATTTACAGTTTGCAGCCAAGTGGCCTAGTCTACCTTAATATTATTTCATTCAACTATGTAACCAATATATACGCATATACACATACATGCATGCATGCATATACATATATACATCTATACATATACAAATATATTTTACATATACACCTATGCATACACATACATACACACATATACATATACGCATGTACATATATATACATGTAACAATTGTATAACTAAGCAGTTATTAATATGCTACAAGTAAAGACCAGAAAGGCCTGTCATGTGTACTATTTAGTTGTATTTCCCAAACGAGGAGAATTTGCCCTTTCTGAAGTGAAGACTGAACTAAAATGATTATTTAAAGCTTCGACTATCTCACTATTATTTTCATGTATCCTGTCGCCTATTTTTAAAGGTCCTATCCTGTCTTTCATTTTGTTGTTTACTTTATAATACTTAAAGAATTCTTTTGGATTTTTAATTTAGTTCATCGCTAATCTAATTTCTCTTTCCCTTTTACTTTTACTGTTTAACTCATTCCTAACAATTTTATAAGCAATTCCATCCTCTTCCCTTTTAGTCTGTCTTTATATTTTATGTTTTTTCTTTTTACTATTAATTAACCTGCTTATATTTCTATTCCACCATAAGGGCTTACTTTCTTTATTTTTACGAATAGATTTGTACGGTATACACTCTCTCTAAATTTTATCTAACTTACACTTAAATATTTCCCACATTTCAATACAGCTTTTATTTATAAATACCCTGTTCCAGTCTATTGCAGCTAAGAGATTCCTGAATTTGATAACCATATACAAAATGAGTATGCTTTATCTTATCGTTGACAATGACGCTACAAATCAGCGTGGTTTTATTACTAACCTTACTGATGAAAACAGCAACGTCCTCTGCGGCTCTGCAGATACTTGCACAGCTGTGTTTTCGACTTATCTATCTCACTCCTTTCCTGGAAGGACAAAATCAATACAGAAATCAATGCAAGTGTTGAGTTATTGGTGTAAGACAGTATTATTCTGAAATGGAGTGCAAGGAAAATTACTGAAGGGTTGTTTAGAGACTACAGTGCGTTATGACAGCATGGGTAAGAACGGCCTATGACAGCGTCAAAAACATTATACACCTTGGCCGGAGGCCCCTAGATTTTGAGGCCCTAGGCTTCAGCCTGCCAAGCCTATAGGTAAATCCGGCACTGATTGTTAGCTTAGAAAAATAAAAGCTACAGTCAAAAATTTCAGTATTCTTTTTTTTTTTAACTGTTACTATTTACAGGTTCTTATATTGGATGAACCCACATCTGGTATGGACCCTAGTGCTAGACGTGTTATCTGGGACATTTTACAGAACATCAGACAGACTAGGACAATCTTGTTCACTACTCATTACATGGAAGAGGCTGACACACTCGGTGATAGGATTGCTATCATGGCTGATGGAAAACTTCAATGTTGTGGGTCACCAGTGTTCCTGAAGAAAAAGTTTGGTGAGTTTTTTATTCAAAAATGATCAGCAAGCTATATAAAATTACTTATAAATAGTTGTATATAACCCTTAGGTTTTCATACATTTCCTTGTTTTACTTAAAATGATATTTTATATAATAAAATAGTAAGGTAATTTAAGATTTGTGACACAATTATCAATTTATAGTTTAAAGATGTAGCTAAAGAATACATATTGAATCATACCTTATTAGAATAAATGGATAGAATAAATCATACTTTACCTAAGAAGATTAAATAAATCAAGTAATTATAGCTGTATATGGTTTATCACCATATTTATGACCGGAGCTTCTGCAGTGAACAAAGGATTCTATTGTGAACACTTAGGAACAAACCACAGACTTGTAAATCTTTTTATAGTTTTGTTTGAAGTTCTTTTCATTCCTGGAAATGTTTTTGTGTTAACTTATAATTTTTTGAAAGCTACAGGAATATTCGTCTATGATATGAGATCACATAAGTTTAGTTAGGTTTAAAGATTACAGTAAGCGATGGCAAATTTTTTTTCATGACACAAATACTTCTTTTATTGAATATTATCATAGGTATCTATCTGGCAATGTCAGGTTTAAAAGATTATACTGTAAATTGGGGTATGGACTGCTCCCTTTCATTACTTTGAGCTGTAGAATGCAAGCTATCCAATAAAAAGGTACTGCTGCTATGCATTTAATTAAGTGTTATTTTCGTTTGGCATTGGCTTCAGGTAAATTTTTTGCTGACCTTATCACGAAGTTGAGTACTCAGTTGTAATATTAAAGCAGTAAAATTTAAATGATTCACAAATTTGAGCTATTTGTTCAATTATTTTTTAATTTAACCTTGATTTTTTTTGGGGGTCCAACAGAGTTCCTCATCCAGATTTTACCAAGGTGGGTTTAGTTTGTTCCTTACAATAATTTGTACCAGAGACATGACTCTGCTTTATATATATAGTCACACAAACACACACAGATATATAGATGAAAAGTATTAGGTTCAAATAATTCATACATTACAAATGTATTTTAATGTTCTTCAAAACAGTGACACAATAAAATTTTGAATTTTCACAACCTAAAAAACAATCAAAAATACTAGATCAGTTTATATGAATTTGTTAAGCTTAAACTAGATACTATTTGGAAAGTTTGTACTAAGCTTAATGCAACTTAGTTAAGACTATTTTCATTGTAAAAAGGTAAAAAGTAGGGTACATCAGTAACAATCTTCTCATCCCGAAAGGATTTACTGCTAAACCAATGTATTTTAACCCATAATTATTAAGCATTTTCTTGGTAGTTCATATTTCTTTATGAAATACAACTTTGTTTTTGAAGTGCAGCATATTCAACTTCTTATCTCTATGAATTAAAAAATCAAGAGTTTGTCAAAAGTTATAAAAGTATTTCTAATAAAAAAAACAATTTTTATATCTGATTTTAAGTTTCATGTTGATACG